TCATCGTTAGACTGTTTGGCATTGACACAGGTAAACTCATGCTATTTTTATCACATTTTGCTCAGATGAGCCATTCACTAATCTCGCCGAATAAATCACTGTAACCTCTAATCTCCTGTTTTCTAAGAATATTGGAATATTTGGTAGATCGTTGTAGCATCCGATGCAAAGGATCACAAGTTCCACTTTGTGGTAAAAACAATTTAAAAAATCTAAGATCGAAGGAGAAACTAGGAACAATCAATGTAACCTTCGATCCCTTGTTTTCTGGGAATATTGGAATATTTGGTAGATCATTGTAGCATCTGATGCAAAGGATCACAAATTCCGCTTTGTGGTAAAAAAAAATAAAAAATCTAAGATCAAAGGAGAAACCAGGAACAATCACTACCAATAATAATCAAGAGGAAAAAAAATCTTACCAACAGCAAGAAGCAACGAGAATTTCTTGAAAAGTTATTGGAAAAACGGAAAGAATGATTAACAGCAAGATTGAGAAAAGATTGGATTAAAAGTGGACAAAGGGATTTCGGTAGGGTGGTGGAGAGAGAAAGAGAGAGAGAGAGAGGGAGGTGAGTTTTGTTGTTTCATTTTGGCCAAACTCAATGAACTTAATGTATCCCTAATTGCTCAATGAACTCAATGCGGAAAGAATTGACCATTTGAATGTCCCTTATTATGGTTATGATGTAGGTTCAGGACCTTCTAGTTCTTTCCCTAATCCTGTTAAATGGAAAAAATGTAATCCTGATTTTACATCAGTCTCCATTCATTGAAGAGTGGAAATGGGAAGGGACAATAGCAAATGGAGGTAACTCTAGTCTGTCTTGCTCGCTGCTAAAATCTAAGACCTTCACCGATGAAAATCCCTCATGCCTGTAGAGGCAAAAATTTGAAGAAAAAAAAAGGTAAAATGGTCTTTTTTGTCTTTTTATTAACAAATATTAAAAGGCACTAACGGTAAGGGAAGTATTAGTCAATTGTCATAAATAATAGGGGTAGTGTTAGTCAATTTTCAAACAGTAAGGATACACTTAGTCAATTAACTAAACCATAAGGGTAATTTAAGAAATTTACCCTAAACTATAAAACTACTAAATCTAAGTGTAGTGCAATTAGTAGGGTTAGTAGAGTTAGTAGCTTAGAACTGCACCAAGAAATCTATATCTTATAGTTTAAAAGAAACATAATCTCATCAAACCACAAATATATGCAATTAAGAGCATGTGATAATTAAATAATCATGTTCGCAATTTATCAATTGGGAAGGAAATATATCCACTCATAATTAGTTTCAACTAAAAATTTTTGCCAAGTTTAGTGTCTTGGTTGAATCAAGCATTTCCATGCTTTTAAAAGAGATGAGAATAGATATCCTCCCCTATTTTGAATGCCTTCAATAGATTGAGGCATTTATAACTTTTTTCCAATTATCCTCCTTTCATATGGTAATTTCTTGCAAAGAAAAATAACCCATCAAAAAACATAGGGGATCAAAGATAACCATTAATATGATTAATGGTAATCATTCCGGCCATGAGCGATCAGGAAATAAAAGCACAACCTGTAGATTTTGCATGTGAGGCTAGCCCAAATCATGCATGAGGCCTCTAGTGAAGGAATACTTTGACTCATGCCAAAGTTTCGTTCAATTTTAAAATGAATTCATAGACATAATGGAACAATTACATTATTAATATTGTGCAATCAAGGATCCCTAAGTCTAATCAATATAGTTTAAGTCATGGTTTTTAAAACTGACCTGGTGATTGAACCGGTCAGGGGCCCGGTTATTAGGTCAAACGGTTCAAACGTTCGGCCCATTCTGACAAAAAATAAAAAAATGGTCAAAACCATTCGAACGGTTAACCACCCGGTTCAACGGTTTGTTGACCAAAATCAACAGTTTTAGAGGGAAATCCGGTTTTTGGGAAAAGCAGAACCGGTCACCTGACCGGTTCCCGGTTTTTTCAGTCCGACTGTCCGGTCCAGTCCAATTTTGAAAACCATGGTTTAAGTTAGAAGATCACAAAGTCATTATACTAGACCTAATATAGCCTTACAAATCATTTAGAAAGTGACATCTAGACATGCTATAGTTGTCTTTCTAAGGAAGTCAAGGTCATCATGTGATCAATCTTCACCATAGACATGATAGGTTTCTTCTCAAAGCAAATAAAACTCTACATTTAAGATACTTTCTTCCATGAGTGTTTCCCTTGTTGAAGGTTCTTCAAAATCCTTGAGCTAACGATATTATGCTCGTTTAAGGGGAGCTTCATATATTATGTTCAAATGATTATTTTTCTTAGGAGGAGTTTTACGTAATTATGCTTATTTGAAATATCTTTTATCTCTATGAATATTTGTGCTTAAATGACTATGTTGTGAATTGATATTTTTGGGTAGCATGCTGATAGGCGGAGTTATCATTGTACTCTTTAAATTGTTCTTATTTGTTATCATTTTTCTATTAATGGTTTATCATCATCAAGAAAGGGGAGAATGTTGGTCTTATGTGTTTTCATGATAACAAATTCATTGAGAGTACTAATGGTTTATGCTAAATGTGTAATTGTTTCCATTGAGCTAAAAAATGATAAACAAATTTTAGATGAAGTAAAGCATAACGGAAGCATTGGCCAGCAACCAATTAAAAGAAAAAAAAGAAGATTGTTCAAGTCCAAGAAAGATCATATTGTGTCATGTTATGTCTGGGAATTGATGTAAATCATAAGCTTGAGATGCACACTATAAGCTCAATCAAAGACTAAACTCAGTTAACCTAAACCTTAGAGACTAATGATTAGATTAGGTATGGTTCTTAGGTATTTCTGAATTATAAACTTGCCTAATCTTGCTTTGGAAGACTAAGATAATAGTATCTAGACCTTTTGAATGAAATTAAGGTTCTAAAATAGTGAGGAGTTTACTACTTTTAACAGTCGAGGCATGGAGTATTATGTGTCATGGTTCATAAGTCAACTACAGGCTTCTAATGAATTGACTACTTTTCATAGCCGAGGCATGAATGATCACTATTCATGAGTCAAGTATAGGATTTTGGTGGGTCGACTACATTTAATAATCATGAGTTGAGACAAATTGATAGTCGACTAACATGAGGGGTTGGTCGATTCATAAAAGCAAGAATGGCTTGAAGCCAATCCAATGTCTCTCTAATGGTCACTTGGTCTCAACATCTATAAAATAATGTTTAAAGGCTAAGAATAAAAAACAACTTTGATTAGTGATAAGTTTGGTAATTGCTATATTGAAAGCATATTCATAAAAGCAAGAGGTTTGAAGAAGAGAAGATTTCTTTGAGTTTAAATCAGTTTATGTGAGAAAAAACATAGTAGTTATTGTGGCTTATATGTTTTTCATAGAGATTTGGGAATCTCTTTATGTGCTAAGTTTATTGTTGTGTTGCATCCTCTTGATTGTGATATTATTTGTATTTGGGGAGAGCTGAACACCATTTTGAACCATGAGGGTGCAGAGATGAGCGGTTGCTACTTGGGTGCTCCACACCTGCACAAAAAAAGAGAAAAGAGCAGCTGCCATATAATATGGATCCGAGACATCTATCCCTCAAACAAAATGCAAGAGAGAACTGTTAAATCTGAATGGGGCTGAAAATTTGGAGGTTACTTAACCTTCCAAAATATCTTTCCTTTCCACTCTTTGCTATCTTTATGATAGCCACATATATAGGTCTCTGCCCAACGTTCCCTTCCTTGTTTTGAGGAGGGAACTTAACCAACTTGAACATTTGGGGAGAAGACCAAGTTAGGGCCTCTCCAGATTGAAACAAATGTCTCATACTGACCAAGGATCTAACCTCTTGGTCATCCAGTCTAGACTGGGTCAAATGGATATCCATTGACCAAATAAGAGTTGGAACTTGGATCCAAAATAATCCAACAATATTGGTACCTCCATGCATAAAAACATTTTCAAATAAACAATCAAATAAATTTCTTTTTATAGAAAATAAATAAATAGGTAATAATTTAAAATGAATGATTGTGTGTGAGAGTATTGCATAGAGATAACCACAAAATAATCATCTTTCATCAACATGTGGCTTGTCACATGGCCATTAGATATTCCAACATGTTGAGGATCAAATGAGGGTCTATGGCCACTCTACCATCACACCAGTGTCGGTAAAGATAGTGCCAGGAAAGTTTATCCAAGTTTAATAAGCATCTAGAAGTCTTGCTAGGTTTTAAAAGTTTGACTAGCACCTAGGAAGTTCAGTTAGCTTGGTATAATGGAAATCTCAGGAGGGTTTTGAGTAAAGGATATAGGTCGAGGTTGGTTGAACATCTATGAAAATTCTTTGTATCCTTTACTTTTTCTACTTATTATTATTTATTTGATTGCAATAAAAACATCACTCTTACTTCCTGTTGATGGCTGAAAATGAAGTGCCAAGAGAGGTGAATGGAAAATTGACTGACAATAATTTTTTTTTTTTGCTGGAAAAAAGTGTTTGATTAGTAGAAATAATGAGCATTTTGTCCTTCTGTCCACTTATACCCATTTTGTCCATTCTAGAATATTATTAGAAATAATGAGCATGAATGAGAGTTCAACCATTAATTGTTGAAGCTGAAGTTGAGTTGTTTATTATACAATTATACCCTGTAAGATATTATTTTTAAGGGAAATTGTCCAAAACCCACCATCAGTTTTTCAGAATTCTCTTAAATCCACCACAACTTTTTGAAACATCAAAAACTCACCATGTAAGTGAGATTTTATTTTCCAAAACTCACCATACGTTACACCACCGTTAAAGCTGAATGATCCAAGTTGTCCACATCATCCTAAATGAATATTTTATGACTAAACAATCCCTGAATGGTGACTCAGCCTATTAAACAAATTTTTTGACCGAAATGCCCTTAGGCGCCCAAAATGGCACAGCAAGCCGAGTGAGCGAGAGAGAGAGGAGAAATCGTGTCTGGTTCTCTTTCCTTCCTTCACAGTGCGTTGACTTCTTCACAACAACTCACTCTTGGACCCAAATTCGTAGCAGCGAAAGCAAGTCCATCTCTGGTTATTGAAGCAAAGGCCACAACCAGGAGGGAAGACAGGCTTGCTCGACATGCCCGTATTAGAAAGAAGGTTGAATGGACACCAGAGAGGCCAAGGTTGTCTGTCTTTCACTCCAACAAGCATATCTATGTCCAGGTGATCGATGACACTAAGATGCACACCCTTGCTTCAACTTCAACAATGCAGAAACCCATATCTGAAGAATTTGATTATTCTCCTGGACCTACAGTTGAAGTGGCAAAGAGGGTTGGTGAAATCATTGCTAAGAACTGTTTGGAGAAAGGAATGACAAAGGTAGCATTTGACCAGGGTGGTTACCCTTACCATGGGCGTGTTGGTGTTGAAGCCCTTGCTAATGCTGCGAGGGAACATGGTCTTCAATTCTGAAACTTGGTAGTTACTTTTTCTGTTTCTCCAAGCACTCAACATTGTTTTATGTTTTACCCTTTTTTGTTCTTCTTAGTCACACATGATGGGCTAATTAGATGTGAACAAAAATTTTCTTGGTCTTCTTAGTCACATGTGATTGATGAAAGAATTAAATGGGAATGAGATCTATCCTCTCCGGTTAAAAAAAAACAGTGTTCTTGCTCTCAACCCAGAGGATCTCACTGCTTTAAGAGACTCTTTTGAAGGTTAGGGTTGGAGGTTCATCACTGGTATAGAAGCAAGGTGTTTTGAAATTTCTGATCCATGTTCATTTAATTCCATCCAGACATCTACTTGTATGGTCACTGCTTGTTTAATCCTCTTTTACTTTGACTAAATGTCGAAGTGTTCAGAAGATGGTTTCAGCCAAGACCATACAGAAATTTTTTAATCGCGTCTAGTTTCCTCATCTCAGGCTTTGCCTTCTAGAGCCTGCTTGTAGTCTTGCTATACTTCCTGCTAAAGTCCAAAAGTAGTATTCAATCCTCCAATTCACTGAGCTCAAGATAAATTCCTCCTTAAGACCACAACTTTTAGTTTCTTGATTTATGACTAAATGTTGGCATTGTTTTTCACAGGGGTAGGGAGGGGTATGTGGATGCAAATCGGAAGTTTAAGATGTCCACAGCAATCCGTCCTTGTGAGAGGACACGGAGCACTGGGGCAAATAATGTTGCCCAAGGAAGAGATCCACTTCCTCTTGTACTCCAGAGTCAGAGTAGTGATCAGCAGACAAGAGTAATCAAGGTGGTGCCTCACAATCGTAGATCTACAACTGAGTCAGCAGCGCGGATTTTCCGGTCCATACAAAAAGAGAGGCAAAAATATGATTCAAAATCTGATGGCAATGATCAACATCTTCTTCTATTCGGACTGCTCTTCTTCTCAGACGAAGGGAACAGTCTTGATGAGCATCCGATCGTTGTTCTTATCAGACGAAGGTACGAGAGTTCTTCTTCTCAGAAGTTGCGGACTGTTGTTCTTCTCCTCAGAAACGCATCCTGTTCTTCAATCTCAAACAAAGGGGAAGCAGGGGCCGATGGAGGAAGAAAGCAGCGGCTGTTTTGGGTTGAATAATGACAGGGGAGTTGCGGACTGTTCTTCTAAGAGACGCATCCTGTTCTTCAATCTCAAACAAAGGGGAAGGGGAAGCAGCGGCCGAAGGAGGAAGAAAGCAGAGGCTAATGCTTGGGTTTTGGGTTGAATAACGATGGGGTAATTTTGGTATTGCAAAATGGACCGAAAATAATAAAGGGTAAAATGGTAAATTAACGATGTCCGTTAGTGAAGTTGAGATGGTGAGTTTTTGGCATTTTGAAAAGTTGCGGTGGGTTTAAGAGAATTATGGTGGATTTTAGACAATTTCGCTATTTTTAATTACTTTATCCACTAAAAGGAAAAGTAACATTTAGTCAAGGCTTAAAGCCACTCGAGCTGTTATATATCAAACAGCCCCTTAATATCTTGAAATGGTACTAACCAAGGTTCAAAGTATCGGAAATGCAAGGTATATCGGAAAGGTAATTTTAGGAGACATATCAAGATACGTTTTGGAAACGTATAGATACAGACGAAAAATCAAGATACGCATGGATACACTAGAAAATTCAAAAAATCTTTAAAAAATATGAACAATAATAAAAATGAGTTTTATGTGATTATAACTAATTTATTTAAACATAAAAAAACATTCTTTAATGATTTATATGAAGTATTGGGATATAATTAGTAACCATTAAAAAATAATAGAAGAACTAAAATGTATGTGTATACATACTAATATTTATTAGTTAATATTTTTTGAAGTCATTTATTAGTTAATATTTATTATATATAGATTTAGATGGCATTTATTATGTAGACAAGTTAATATATTCCTTAATTTTAAATAAATAAATTTAACTTGTATTCATCTTATTATTATATAAATATTAATAATCAAATTTATAGCATTTGTTGGGAAACATTCACCAAGGCAAGAAAGATTAATTTAAGTATAAAAAAACATGTGGTTCTAATAAGTAATTAAGGTTGGCATAATGGTTAATTAATTAGTGTTTCAAGCAAATGGCTTAGGTCCAAAACTTCTTACCTTTGTTTTGTGATTTTTAACAAGTTATTTGATTTAAATAACATTTAATGACATATTAAATGATGTAATTAAAGGTAACTTAAATGAGCATTTAATTAAATTATATTAGCTTTTAGTGACGTCTCAAACTTTAAGGCTTAATTAAAATTGATAATAATGAGAGAGAGAAGATATAAATTAAATTTAAATTTAAAAAGGAGAGGGAAATTAAATTCGGCTGATACATAGTGCATATCGGCCCGTTTCGTGTATGTATTGGCACGTTTTGGATTGTATCGGCCGATATATACCCAAAACGGACTGATACAAGGCCGATACGGACCTGTATCGATTCGATACAAACGAAAAAATACGAAACCATTTAATTAGACATGTTCCGTGTATCAAAACTCTTCCGGAATGATACATATCGGCCCGTATTGACCGATATGTTACGAAATTTAAAACCTTGGTGCCAACTATGTTGACGGGAAGTACAAAGTACGTACTACAATTTTTCAAGCATTATATGCAGTATTCTGAAGTAAATAGCCAGTTTTGGACTAGCATTTTATTAGTTATACGATCTTTTCGTTAGTAGTATGATTAATACAAGTTTCTACGTATAGATATAAGAGAAATTATAAGAAAGATAATAAGAAATAACCTGAAAAAAAAAAAAACTACATCTAATAATCACAGCCCTATTCCAGATTTGAACTTCATAGCTACAAAAACATCCCAACGAACAAACTTTTTTGACTACCAGAAATGGTGATGCATTGGGAGATATTCCCAATACACAGCGGGGATGTATTGGGATTAACAGTGAAGAATGTTCTTTAATGAAATCAAATCTGTTCTTGCTACCTTGAGTTTACCATGGACCGCCAATGCGGTTAAAACTTTATGTTTATTATTCAGACAAAAAACACTCATGAATGAAATGTTTAGATTCCAAAATTTTTAGGTCAGCCAGCCTTTTCCCCCACATTAAAAATAACCACAAATAAAACTGTAGGCCATTAAACTTGTATTGTTCATTATAGATTTTGAGCAAGATATAATGCTTGCATGAAATGAAAGTATCACTCTTTAATCTACACACCAACTGCTATTGACGGATCCATATTTGATGAATGCCAATTTGTAGAGGAGATATGAGTTGGTGAGAGTGAGAGAAATGGGTCTTGGGTCCCCATTTAGGTATGGGCCCCTATATATATTATTTCTTCCCTTCTAACTGTTCTTAGTGCTAACTCGATGCAGATGGATCCAATCAACTGACTTGGTTGGACCAGGCCAACTCATTCTGGACTCACGTCCGGTCAGCTAATTAAGCCTATATGGGTCGAGTTTGGGTCTAAAGGGTTTTGCAGGCCTATGCTTTTACAGTGTGACCAGTATATGATATGATCATGGTTCAAAACACTGTTTTCAAAATCGGACCAGACCGGACGGTCGGACAGGAAAAACCGGGAACCAGTCACCTGACCACTTCCGTTTTCCTCCAAAATCGCTTTTTCCCCTAAAATCGTTGATTTTGGTCAGTAAACCGCTGAATCGGCCGGTTAATTGTTTAAACCATTCTTTTATTTTTTTATTTTTTTGTTAGAACGGGCCGATCGTTCGGATCGAACAGTCGGACCATTCAAACGGATAACCGGACCCCTGACCAATTCAATCACCGGTTCCTTTTTAAAAATCATGGTTGAAAGTACCTTTATGTATCGGCCTAGGTGTATAGAAACTTTAACTGATACATCTTTTACTTTCTTTATTTTTTTTCTTTTTCAAATTTTAGTTTTAAATATAATTATATATATTATTTAATATAAAAACGATTTTTGTTAAACACTGAAAATAGGTGTATCAGAGCCCAAGATACACCCCGTATCGGATATTACCGAAACCTTGAACCCCCCAACTGGCTATCCGAGTCCATCTGCTTATTTTGCAGCAAACGATCCCCCCCGAATATGACATTTCTTGCAATGTTTTCCAGTGGATAGCCTGGAAGAATACTCGTCTCCTTCATCACATAAGAAACTAGAGAACTAAGGTTAGGCAATGTTTGGTTCGAAGGAAAAGGTAAAGAAAAGAAGGAAAATGTAGGAAAACCTATACAAAGTTTATAAAGGTTTCCCTATCTTAGTATCTTTCCCTACTTTTTCCTTCAACCAAACACAACCTAAGAGTATTTATTATTCCCACTTAACCTCTAGTTCAAAAATTTGGAGTCTCTCGATCCAATGAGTTCTATCCCTCGTAACATGTGTTCTTCTTAAGCATTCCAAATTCATTTGACTCAGGAACATACAAAAGCTTGTTATAGGGAGAGGCGTTTCTCAAACTTTTGGCCTCTGGTTCTGTTTATAGTCACAGCCCAAATCTCAAGCCAGAGAAATGAAAACAATGTTGTTGAAATTGAGTGCCTACTGTCCATTTTTGTAGTTATCACTGAATCCTGACACTCTTACCTACAGGGCATGGACCTAGCTAGCATGGGGGGCAATGCTAGCTGGAGGTGCAGTTGCTGCCGCTTATTAAGCTCACCAGATGTCAATGGTGCTCATCATCCAATCCGGATCAATCTCCTGCACATTGATTCCTGTACATCTGGAATCAGAGGGTGTCACGTCAGTACCGAAACATGGACAAATCTTGTATATGCAAGTGGAAATAACGGTTCTAAATAAGGGTGTCGATGGACTGGTTTTGGATTGGACCTCGTCCAGTCCAAAATCAATTTAGACGGATTGGATGGACCAACAAGATATATTGGATTGGATCAATCTGGTCCAAAATATTTATTAGATTGGATTGGACCTGATCCATCCGTAACAAATTTATATTGGATTGGGTTGGATTAAGCCAATATCCTATCCATTGATATAAGATAAGAATATATGCATCAATGGATCAGGTTTGAGTTGAAATCAAAATGAAATTGAACAGATTGGATGGTCCAGACATTGAATTGGTCCAAAATATTCATTGGATTAGATTGAACCTGGTCCATTTATAATGGGCTCACATTGAACTGGATCGGATTGGACCAAATCCAGTCCAATTGACACCCTAGTTCCAAATGTCCTCCCATTCTATTTTTTCCTTATTAAAATTTACATTAAAATTCTCTTCTTTTGCTGAAAGCTTTTCTCAACAAATGGGCATGATAAAAACCAATAGAAAAACTGCATGACTGAATGCTTGAGACGAAATATACACCAATAAAAAAAAGGAAATAAGGGTTTCTTCTTCTTTCATTCAAAGCTTTTTGCAAGGAATTGAATATATCTGAAACGAACCAACTTTAAAGTGCATGCCTGAAAACTGCTTACCACCGAGTCACCGACAGAAACATGAAGCAAAAAATGCTAAGCTTAAAACTTGTTCGAATGGCGAGGCCCGTTTAAGGCAAGCATAGAAAACGTGGAGGCAAGTTCATGAAGTGGAAGTAGTTCTTGCACCTTTTAGTGACCGATCTGAATAATATTTTGCTTTGTAATATTACGGGTTGTGGATTTTGAATCAATCATACTAAACGCATAAATAGTCTTCTCAAGGGCCTTCTTTAAGACTTTAAGACTAAGGTTTGAAAAGAGTACAAATATATACAGTGCAAATACATATAAAATACATATTTGTATTTGTCTTCTTTCCCAAACTCAATTTGGAAAGAATAAGGCTCAGTTCGGTTTAGATCAAGTTTGAATATCTCTGAAAAGCTCAATTCATGGCCACCCCTACAACGAGATTGCCAGAGTTTTCAAAATCTCATCAGAACGATCTTGTGTTCTGGATCACAACTTTGATTTATTATTTTATTCTCTTTATCAAAAAAAAATAAAATAAAAATTTTGAATTTATACCGAATACACTTTATCTTCCATGGGGCATTGGTCAGCTTGGAAAAGGATAACGCATTAAAAATATGATCACCTGTTGGGTAGGTTTAGTTGCCAGCCATGCTTATGGGCCCAGGAAGATAGCAAAGCTGCCGATGCACCATTGTTTGGTTTGCTAGCATTCCTCGAAATACATTACTCCAGTTCAAGAATGAGACTGACCTACTAAATTCAAGACTAGGGGTGAGGGCATACAGCAAGGAGATTTTTTTTCATCATTTGAGCCCCATCTCCCCTTTGGAGCCCTAGAAATATTAATTAATGGAACTAAACATCCATTGTTTCACAAAAACAAGGTACATCCATACTTGAGAAACACAAAAGAACAAAAAGAACAGAACAGAGAAAACAACGGACCCTGGTTACTAACCTCTCATTGTCCCCCATATTAATCATATGGAATTTGGATATAAGCTGCATCACATATAAATGGGATATCAGCATACATGCCTCCAAGAGCACATCGCATGCATTCAAGCACTGTAAAGAGGTATGCAAATGCAACTGCGGTCCAAAAATGCATCCCAATTTTCCCCCAGTACACAGAAAGCGGCATCCAACGGCTCACTGTCCCAATCACCTGAAGAGTAATTTCAAGGAGCATGCCCAGAACAACATGGAAACGGAAGAAGTGAGGCCATTCTTTCTTCCTCACAATCCCAAGATATGCAAGAAAGAAATATGCCATCAAGAACCAACCGGGCAACCTCCCAATAGCTCCAAGAAAAGGATACGTAACAAATTCAAAGTCTTCAAGGAAAGGATGGAGATGGTAAGCCGTCTCTGCATACATCCATGTCTCATGAAGAGGCATGAGATGGGGAAGGCAGGCTAGCATCCTCCACCACCATTTTGGCTTCTTTGTCATTGGAGGATAGCGAAAACTGTAAGGAACATCCTTGGATGCTTTAGGAGCCATAGAAGATCTTCCAGATGCCCTGTTCCAACTTGCTAGCAGTGGAATTGTATGTGAGAGGCTACCAAGATTTCCACTTAATAATGGGGTTGAAGCAGCAGAAAGGTACATGGATGGCCAATCTGGCATGGAAAAGATAACAAAGAAGATGCATTCATCATATGCCTCTTGGCATTTCAATTGCGAGTGGACAATAATATACTGGAAATTGCTACAAAAGGAGAGTTCAAATCTAATTTTAGTTGGTCCAGAAAAAACAGAAATATTCTGAAGTCTTTATTGCCCATGATTTTAGAATTTTATAGAAATGCAGGAATTTAAGCAAGTCTCTTCATTCAGCATTTGTATAGTTTGATATTTGGATCCTCAAATCATCCAATTTTTCCCAAAAAAAAAAAACAAAAGCATAAAGTTTTACTGATTTCCATTTTGACATTCTCAGCAGTAAAGATAAGAAAATAACCGCTATTACTTTTATGCCTTGTGCATTCAATCAATAAATTTTACATTTAAAATAAGTTACAAATTCCATGAAGCAATTAAGAATGTCAGCATACCTCTTGTAGTCCAGGACATTCGTTCCTTATAACTTCCCCATGAACACCTGATGCTTGAACAAGCCCCTTTGATAGGCACTTGAGAAAAGCATGTAAAAGTAAACTTTGGTGTCACTGGGTTACAGGAATTGGGTTTTAGCATTGCACAACCAGAGGCCATCATGCCTGAAGTACCTAAAGAATGGCGAACAACATAAAGAAAGAAATAAGAAACATTTTGGGAGCAATTCCACAGGATCTGGAGTATGTAGGAACATCAATTTTATTTATAAACATTGAATTCCAACTTATATGCATCACAAAGAAACAATATATAGAATTGTAGAATACTTGCACTGAAAATTACACACACTTGAAATATGATTATACATTGTATGGTCATATTTTTCCTTGATACTCTCAACCAATGTTAGGATGTGATATGGTGCATTAAGGATTTGGGTTTGGGGAAAAGAATGAATCAAGAGGTACAATATTAGATTTTGCAGTAGCTTGTGATATGGTAATTTTAAACACACATTTTCCCAAAAGAATGATGAACACTTTAGGCTGTGTTTGGTTGCAGTGCAATTTTATTTGCACTAGTACAAATGCATGGGAGTGCAAATGAAAAAAATGCAAATTCTGGTTTTAATATTGTTTTGGGTTTTACTTTATTATGCTTCATGTCCTAATTTACTTCATTTGTACCGCAATCAAACAAAATAAGCTAAAATTTGAAAGAAAAATAGGTTAGAATTTAGACTCAAATCATTTGCACTGTCATAGTTTTGCATCAGTACAAATTTGTTTGCATTGCAACCAAACACAGCCTTAATATCATTTAAAAGTGGATCAAACATAAGTCAAATAATTTTTTTCTCATGAGGAGAATAGAACGAATGATGTATAAAGATTGCAAAGTTATTCTAAGAGAAAGCTTAATAACACACCATAGACTACTGGTGATAAATGAGTGTATTAGGAAATGGAAGAGAAATAACGAAGAAAATAGATGTCTAGATGGAAAAACCTGAAAGGAGAAAGCCTAATTCAATTTAGAATAGGTTTGCACCAAATCTCCATAACTGGGATACAAGGCAAAGAACCAATTAGAGCTGGGAAAGAGCTCTAAAGAAAGAAGCACAAGAGGTGCCAGAGGGAGTACAAATCGAAATTCGGTCATCCAGTTTAGAAGGATCAAGGAATACTTTCTCCAACAATTGGAGCAAGCTTATCACAATTTGAAGCTCAGAATCTCTTATACCCCTCCTAAATCCTAAGTCCCAACTTCGCCTTCGCTGGAATTTGAAGAGAACGAACTTGGAAATAGGTTCATTTTTGGAGCAAGATAGGGCATAAAGAGAAGGGAATTGCTAAGGGAGAAGAACCCAACCATGTGTGTTCACAGAATTTAACACCATTGCCGGTGCAAGGATCATATCTAATAAGAGGAAGGAAAAGTGGGAGGATTTTATTGATGGCCTTCCAAGGAGATGCTCAGTTTTCCCTTACACCAATGCTCCAGCATCCCATCCATTATCCAAGAGCCCATGAATACTCGTGATGACTCTTGCTCGTAGCTTGTCTCTCTCTTGAGGCATTCTCCAAAACCACTTACCTAGCAAAGCAGTATTTCTCCTTTGTATATTCCCAATTCCCAATCCCCCTCTATTAAGAGAGGAACCATTACAAAAGGAAGCTTTACAACTATAGAAGTAAAACAAAAAAAAGGAATAATGAATAAAATGGAAAGAATGATTATATAAAGAAATAACAAAGAAAACATGACTAGCTAGGAAACTTCCATTAGTTTGACTCGGAATCCTTGCAAGGCTTGATCAAGGATTTCTGATTATTGTAACTTTCCTTAGTCAAATCAGGATATTCTCTAACACTTTTTTTTTTGATAAATTCCAACACAAACAATGTTAACTGGGATGGTTCTTCCTCCAACTTAGAGATGTGGTTGTAAAAAAATTTGACAAAGAATTCGCCAGATTTCTCCCACTTCCAAATTCTTCCATCCTCTTCCAATGTCCACTTGAATGCTATATAGTTTATGCAACAATTCCACCAGTGACTCCGTTTACCAATCGTTCAAACTTCTTCTAAAATGAGGCACTCATACCACACTTCCATTCTACACCTGGCATATAACCTACCACTTATATTTCTTCTAAAATCGACCTGCAATCTTTCAATTCCACTGATCCCTCTTCCTTTGGAAGCAAGGAAATGAAGGTGGCATTTAGGCTACACTCCAAAGTTGTTATATTGTGAAACTCAAGGAATTCCATTACATCCAGTTTTACAAGATCCCAAAACTTTTTGAAAAACAATAGTGAAGCCATCTAGGCCCAGAGATTTTTTACCTTCTAGTTCTCCCAACACCAGTTTCACTTCCTCTTCAGGGAAAGGTTTCTCCAAGTCAGCTACATGTTCCTCTAATCGTTCACCAAGGTGCAACCCATCCAATTTAGGTATAAATTTGCAAGGCACCCTATAGTGTTGTTCAAAAAAAAAAATCCACTATAGCCTTTCAACTCCCTTTCATCATCCATTATGTTTCCATTGAATTCCAACTTCTAAATTTTATTGGCTCTTCTTCTCATGTTGGCCACTTTATGAAAAAAAAAAGAGGTATTATATTATTCCCTGCTTTTAACCACATTACCTTTGATGTCTCTACTTTACACCATCTTGGAAAGCTAACGAATCATATTCCTTCTTCATCAGTGTTCTCTTCCTTCTATCTTCATCCAACCTACAAGATTCCTCCTCTTTGTCAATGTCCACAATTTCTTTCAAGCACTTTGCCTTAAAGCCTTTACTAAAACTGCTTGTTCTAATTGCCACTGTTTAATCTTTCTCTTCATCCATTGGAGCTTTTTGCTTAAGCTGAAGCTAGCCGACCCTTCAAAATAAGCTCTTTTTATCAATTACAATGAATTTTCATTATGATATAAATAAAAGGTACAAGAGAGAAAGAGGTATACTCTATTAACTCTCCAAAACGAGTTGATTACACAAATTACAACACAGCCCAGAAAAGTTGATTTCTTCCCACCCCTTGTTTTTGCCAAAGCACCAGTAAAGGAATTTGCATTTCTTTTCACCAACTACAATTTAATTTCAAAATAAGCTTCACCCCACCACTTGTATACATTTGAAATAAAATGCTCCTTATCAAGCCAGCAATGTTCCAACTGGAACACAGAAGGCTTTCTGACTACACCACTAGTTTCCAATAGAAGAGGTACATGATCTGAAGGGACTCCTAGGATGGCTTCCTGAGATAAATTGGAAAACATCTCATCCCACTCGATAGAAATTAAAAACTTGTCAATCTGAACTAAAGAGGGTACTTCTTGGTTTTTGAACCAAGTCAATTTTGCACCAGAAAGTGGGAGATCGATTAACTCCCACCTCTGAAAAAAATCAGAGAAAAGTCTCGTACCACTGTTTAGGCAAGGACCACCAGCTTTGTCTACTGAGGCGACAATGGCATTAAACCCCCCCCCATTAGCCATGGACCATCCCACCTACCTCTGACCTCATTTAGTCTTCCTAAAAGTCCTGCTTCAAAGCGTTATCAGTAGGTCCATAACAGTTGTTACTAACAAAAGTGAACCAGAAAACAAATGTTGGGCTTAAATAGAAATATAGGAACTTCCTTCCGTTTTTTATCAATAGTTTAAATTTGCTGCTGTCCCAGTAGGTCCATAACAACTGCAAGCCCTGAAACCCGAAATATTTCTTACCACCCGAAAGCTAAATTTCTGGAGCTTTATTTCCTGAATCATTAGTATGCTTGGTGCCCTTCCCTTCAAAAAATCACCTACTATTGGCCTTTTCCTTCTAGACCACAACCCCCTTATATTCCATGACATTACTTTGATCCTCTCCATTTCAATTATTAAAACTACCAACCAATAAAAATGCTTAGTAGATAATTGTATCTTTTATATTTGAATGATTGTATCTAGGTGTCTGCCTTGCAGCTAGGCACCCGCTTAGTTGCCTAAGGCATTGGCATGAAAACTACGGTCTACTGAGAACTGAGAACATCAGCAATGAAAGTACAAGAATGGAGCAAGTAGACGAACTTCCCTTAGACCTCTACAAGCCGGGAAAAAGTCTCTCAGTACGTCATTCACCAATACTAAGTAATGGCACATCTGTAAACAACTTTTCATCCACTTACACCCAACGTTTTAAAACAGAGGTGTAACACGAAGTGTTCCACTACTTGGAGGTGTGATTCATAGTTCAGACTTCAGAGTGCAAGAGGCATAAGCTTCCCGAGCACAAGCAAGCGTGAACTTCAAGCATGTATTTTTATAGTAATAGTTGGAATTTTAATAATAAAACATCATATTCAAATGAATACAGATACTTTTAGCAGAACAATACGTGGTAAAACTTAATTGCAATGGTCAAATTGTCAAAAGACTCCAAAGTCCAAACTTGAGTTCTCAATCCCAACTTCATTCAGAAATGTTTAAATTCAGCAATTTCCAAATGTGTAAATTCATTCATTAAAAAAAAAAAATAGCACATCACTTCAGTCATAAATGCTTAAATTCAGCAACTTGCAAATGTTCTAAATTCTAATTTCTAACCCAGCATGTGATAGACAGTTACTAGAATTTTTTTTATGAATGCTACTAGAAATTATTCTTCAGTCATAAACAAGGAAACACAATAGGAAAGAAATTATCATAAAAATAAACAGGGCAGAGAATAATTTACTTGAAGGCCTGAAGATGCCGTGGTATCTTTGGTATTCCAAAATAGAACCATAAAAGTTACAGCCTTAGTCTTCAAAAAAAAAAAAAGAAAGAAAAAGGGTTACACGAGAAGAAGAATAAGAAAATAGAGCAAGACAAGTTCTATTCAGAACTCGTGTTCAATCTCGAGACTGAGAAGAGCTACCAAGAAGAAAAATAAGGGTATAAAAGAAACATATCTGTGCTGTATATCAATAGGAAGTTCAATACTGATCTGAGCTAGAATAAAAAAAGACATTCAACAAATTGCAGGCTTGGAGCTTCGGGAAGAAGAATAAGAAGAAGAAGAAGAAGAGAATCATACCTGTAAATGTATTCTGTGCTCGACTGAACAGAGCTAGAAGGAAAAAACAAAAACACAGTGAACACATTGCAGCTTCAACAATGAAAAGAAGCCGAAGAAGAAGAAGAAGCAGAGGAAGACGGATGAGAAAAAAAAAAAGGAAAAATAAATAAATAGATATATATAAAAATACCTAATTCGAGATTGGGAGGTTGGAGGGAGGCTGTTGCAGTTCTCGAGCCTTCCTCTTCATGCCCTATCGATTGGAGGGCTTTCTGCGCCCCTTTCTTAAATGCGATAATGATAAAATAAAACAGGGACCACGATTATATTACGGCCCCATCAATCGATTTCGGTTCGACGTTTGAAAAACCGAAGGATCGATTCGATTTTCGGTTAACCTAAAAAAAATCGACAGTTTATTGAAACGAATAATAGAATACATAAGAGTACATAATTATTTTATAAGTTAATTTTAAATAATTAATAATTACTTATATTTTATATATAATTTTTTATAATATAAAAATAACAATAATTAATACTGTTTTCAAAACCGGACCGGACTGGACGATTGGAGCAGAAAAACCGAGAATGACCGGTTCCATTTTCCTCCAAAACCGCTTTTTCCCTCAAAACCGTTGATTTTGGTCAACAAACCACTGAACCGGCCAGTTAACTGTTCGAACTATTTTGACCGTTTTGTAATTTTTTTATTTTTTGTATTTTTATATTTTTTTTGTTAGAACGGGTTGGCCATTCGGGTTGAATGATCGGACCGTTCAAACCGGTAACCGACCCCTGACCGATTCGGTCACCGGTTCGTTTTTAAAAACCATGATAATTAATTTCATCTAAAATAATAGAGAAATCAGTCGTGGGGAACAACTTAAAATAGTGTGGTTTTGAGCTTTCAAAAACAACTTAAAGTTGTGGAGGTTTAAGTTGTCAGCACAGGCCGACTGAAAGCGGTTCCATGTAGAACTACTTTGTGACTGATTCATCCAAAATGACTGTAAAACGATGAACTTCATGGGAAGACTCTTAATCTATCAAGACTACTCTGTCAAGACTCTTAATCGGAAGTGATGAGAATTGAGAAGTGTGAAGACCCTTACTTTGTGAAGACTCTATAAGGCTGAGTTATGATATGAGAGAGAAAAAAGTCTGGAGATGAGACCGATGAGGTGGGAAGAGTCCTGCTCTATCAAGGTTCCTATTATGCTGAGGTGTCATTATAAGAGAGGGAGAAGGGAGTGCTGAGATAGCTTCATGAGGGAGCAAGGAAGGTTACAATGAAGAGGGAGGGATGAGAATTCTCTGTTGGGGTAAGGGAGAAAACTCAAGCCATGATGTGGCATTTTTCTATTTTAAATAGCTAAATATTTAACATTACTAAATTTTAAATAGTTAAAAAAACAAAATTATGTAATAAACTTAAAAATTTTATTAAAAGTAGAATACCGTTATAATAGATTTCATAATATTTGAATTAATAATAATTTTATATTTTACAAAATTAATAACAAAAATATGTAATAATTTTATGCATTATGAAATTCAATAAATAAGTAATATTGAAATAACTAAATCATATTTTAAATAGTATTTAAAAACAAATAAAATAGATTAAATAAAGAAATTATGTATTAACCTTAAAAATTTTATCAAAACACAAAAATAATTATAATAGATTTAATAATATTTGATAATATATATATATTGGTGTTATATAGGTATAAGTACATTTTATCAATAAATAATGTATAATTATATTATACGTGTAATATATGCATTAGTTCATATTTAACATATATTTTTAACTTAATTTTTTATTTGTAAAAAATGCTAAAAATTGTAATTAGAAACTTAGAAATGTTTTGGGGCAAAAATAGCATGACAAAACACATTGGGATGCATAGATCTCAAAATATTTCCCAAAACAAGAAAAAAGGGTTTTTATTGTTTAGTCCCCCTAAATCTTATTAGTTTGTATAGTTTGGAACAGTGTCAAGGGGGATGGTATAACATAGGTGGGGGTATGGGACAATACATTTGGAAACTAAAAAAAAAAAAAAAAAAAAATCAAGAGTATACAAGTGTAATGTTATAGACTCCATAAGTTTAAATTTGTATAACATTTAATGTGCAAGCCATAACCTAGTGACCATGTTGAACAAGCCAAAGGTTTAAATGCATGGGTCAAATATTTTTTACTAGGTCAACCGGTTTTTAGCAAAAGTCTATATGAGAACTAGACCCAGAATTATGGTTAGGTGACAGTTCAAATAGTTTGACCAGCCAGATCAATGATGGTTAATGATGGGGTTAAAAAAAGACCATAATTAAACGACGGGAAAGGGAATAATTAATGAGACAAGGGTTTAATGGCACAATATGCACATTTAAAATTCAATTTTCAAATAAAATGGTATTAAAATTGAACCATTCCACCCATCACGTGTCACAATAGACCTTGTATCTGATGCATCTACAATTCTACCTAATTACATACTTTGAACCAATGTTCAAAAACAAATTATCTTTCACCTTCAATATTTATATTCTAGAAAATTGTTTTTTCGGCCACGTTTGGTTGCATTGCAAACGCAAATATGTACACTACATATTTACCCTCTTTTCGATTCATGATTGCAAATACGATTCAGATTTTAAACTGTTTTTGCACTCATCTTGTTTGATTGAAATCAGTACTAAGTGTGAACCCCATCATTAAATGCTCCAACTATCTTATGCTTCAATGCCTTAACTTTGGTTAAAAAATTGATTATCAAAAGAATACAAAATTATATCCAAAAAATAGGTACATAATACTCTCTTTTCAGAGTACAAAAATGTTAGAAAATACATTTTTGATCTGCTTTTTTAGATGTCAAACAAATGCGAACCCCAGTACCCCAGTTCGGCATTTGTATTGCAAATAAACGGAGCCTTCAAGTCGAATGATATAAAGATGGCCCACTTCTGAAATTTTGAAAAAAAAAATAATTAAGAGAAAAGTGAAAGTTTCAAAGTACCATACACCCCCTTCTGCCTTATGTGAGTGTATCAATGTTACATCAAAATTGAAAGTGATTCCCTTATGCTTACCAAAACCCTGTTGGCGAATAACTTGGATCAAACCTTGGCTTGTGCAAGATACAATCAATGATTGCAGGAACCTCAAGAAATGCTGAAGCCCCGTGCATTAACTAAACACTGTGTCTTGATTGAATTCATACAAGGCATGATCCCCCCCCCCTTTCTTCAGTGTTGTCTGAGTGAAGATGCAGTTGTCAAGTTGATGAAATGAAATCAGCTTATTCTAGGCTTCTAGCCTTCCGAAAGAGAGAGAGAGAGAGAGAGAGAGTCAAACCTACAAGGCTACAAATCATATATGATCCCCCACAGCATAGTGGAACTAACCACTTAAACAATTACTAACCACTTAAACGGGATAAAACTACAGGTAAGCCATTGGCAAAATGCTTTGCTATTCCATCCTGAATGGTAGACTTTCATCACTGGTGATAAAAGGCAGACGAGACAGGATACAAAAAAGCTGGCATAGAAAAGTGTCATAATCGATACACACTTCTTATATGTTACACAGACCAACGTACACAGAATGACAACCTCAGATACAGATGCACAAAATTCTTCGATCTTGCCACAAGGATAAAACCAAAATTGGAACATTTAAACCTGCACAGCTAGCGGAATAGACTGCAGAAGAAAAGAAGGGGGAAAAGGATGAGGATGTAAACAGGCTACCAGATTTCCAGGTTCAAAAGAGGCCAATTTACCATCAAGAATACCAGGAAATCTAAGGGTCGATTAAAGAACCAGCACAAATGCCACCTTCCTCTCAATAAATAAAATTGCCTTGTCACATCCCCCCATTAGTTATCTCCAGCTAAGTAGATGGAAACACAAACACTACTTTTTCCGTGGCTTGTCCCTTCTGGCTTTTATATATCTCCGGTTAGACTTGTCACCACCCCCAGTGCCTAATGAAAAACTTCCTCCAGCTGCAAAATCAAGACTGCCACCAGCTGCTTGAAATGGAGAAGTCTGTGGAGCTACGGAATTTTGTTGAGTACCAAACTGGAAGAAGGGAGGTGTTGCTGATGGAGCTGGAGAACCAAACGTGAAATTAGATGGTGGTGTAGAAGGTTGTGAAAATGCTGATGCTTGAACTGCAGGTGGAGACGCTTGTATAGTGTCCTCAGCCATGCTATCCTCCATGTTCATTTGATCGTTATTACCTGGGGAGGCTGTACCAAATGTGACTGGTGGTGGACTTGGAGCCCCAAACAATGGAAATGATGGGGTAGGAGAAGCTGAAGTGGTTGTAGAAGCTGATGTGAATGAGAAAATAGAACTTGATGAGGGACCGATGGATGAGCCAAACACCATTGGAACACTGCCAGTAGCAGAAGCAGCACCTGAAGACACTCCAAATGAAAATCCCGCCACTGAGGAAGACGTAGAACTGAAGGAAGAACCAAATATGGATGAAGTTGATCCCTGTAAAGTGGAACCAAATATACCAGAAGCACCACTACTAGAGCTTACAGTAGTTGAAGCACTTTGTCCAAAGGCAGTACTTGAATCAAACAATTTAGCAGGAGTTGAGCCAAAAACAGGACTGCCAGAGCTGAAAGCAGAAGACCCACTCAAACCAAATGTCGGAGATGAGGAAGATGAACCAAAATGACTTGGAACACTCTGTGTAAAAGGTGAAGCCCCAGTTTCACCAGATGCTACCTGAACACCAAACTGAGATCCAGTACCAGTAGCAGCATTAAAAATGTTACAGCTCTGAGATTGGGTACTGGAAGATGAAGCAGCATTTGTAGTACTAGATGTAGCTGAAGCACCAAAAGCAAAGATGTTGCCACTGCTGCTGCCTGTAAATGATGATGATGTTCCAAAAGAAGAACCTGTTAGACTTCCAAAAGGTGATGCCTGCTTGATCTTCGGCTCCAAACTTGTGCACTCAGTGCCAGAAGTTGATGGTGGTAAAACTGAATTTGATGGAGCAACTGCTGCTGATGTGCTGGATCCAAACTGAAATACAGGTGCAACAGCAAAAGAAGGGGTTGCTGCAGAGATAGATGGACTGGTGGCAGCAAACAAAGTTGTACTGTTGGTGGTCGAAGTAACAGATGTTGAGCTAGTGGTGAACATCAAGCTCATAGAACTACTAGGAACAGGCAGTGAAGGAGCAGAAGAAGATGAGAATATGAAAGAGGTTGAAGCAACTGACCCATTGCTTAGCCCTGAATTGTTATTAGAGGTACCAAAAGAGAAAATTGGCAAAGCTGATGTTGATGCACCAGAAGAAATATCTACACCCTTCTGGCTATTACCAGCTTTATCTGAGTCTCCAGTTTTTGGAACATTTTCTGTTGCAGGTCCAGAAGAAATAGAAGGTTCAGATTTTCTATATGAATCAGCAACCTTCTGACCATTACCAGCTTTATCTGAATCTCCGGTTTTTGGAACAACTTCTGTTGTTGTAGAAGACAAAGTAGCAGGACTGTATCTCAGCATAAAAAGAAAACATTAAAAACATAACTTCAAAAGGCTTATTATTGTTCAAAATATTGACTTCACCAATATGTAATAAAGTAAGCCAAAGTTCAGTAACAACTCATAATGATACCATGACTTCAGTAAAGCATCAGTCTTCATTATCCTTGACTGGAAAATATAAACAATCATTGAACACAGAAACTTAACTGAAACGGTTCATTTCATCAATATCATTCACATGTCCAATTATCTAGGCATAACTCGTACATATATACATGCATTAAGCATTTAACCATAATTCGGTATCCATTCTGTGAATTTAAGCATTTTAACATTAAAGCTGAGATGAGTTGTAACCAAAAGCAACATTTTCCCATTGATATTACCCCCACCCTCTGCCTAATGCAAGCTGTTAGGAACCTGCCTAACACAGGGCTCTTTGAGGGAGCCAACCTCCTGAATTAGAGAGATAGAGAGAGGAGAGAGAATGTTGCTGAAAGATCGATGTCTTTATTTCCCATCTTTGATTATTTATACTGTTTTACAGAGCTCCCCTTACTTACATTCTTTAACTTCTTTTTCTGTTAAAACCGCTGCAAGTGGATGGTCAGTTAGTTGAGCTGTTATACCAGAAGGTTGACGTGGCCTTCCCTTGTAAAACTGGCTAACCATTTTCTGTTGTTCTGTTTCAGCAGTCTTAACAATCCCTCCCTCCTTTAGAGAGACCTTGCCCTCAAGGTCTAAAGTGGGAAAGTTCGTTTACAGATTCAAGTAAGGTTCCCAGGTGGCGTCCTCCTCTGGAAGTTTAGACCATACAACTAGTGCTTCTGGAATGACTCTACCACCACGGCGCACCCATCTGAAGTCAATGATGTAGGTTGGCTCAGTCTGCACTTGTCCTTCATCTGAAAATGTGGGTAGAGTAGCACTTGTAATGGCACCTGGCTATGGCCCTTTCTTGAGTAAGGAGATATGAAATACAGGATGTAATCTTGATGTTGCTGGTAGGTCCAGTTTGTATGCCACCGACCCTATCCTCTCAAGGATTTTAAATGGTCCAAAGTAGCGTGGGCTGTGTTTATTCCACTTCCTGCTTGCTACTGAAATCTGTCTGAAAGGATGCAATTTAAGAAACACCCAATCACCCACTGCATAGTGGACATCTTTGTGATGCTTTTCATAACTGCGCTTCATCCAGTGCTGTACTTGTGGGAGATGATTTTTCAGCTCTTTTAATACCTCATCTCATTGTATTAATTGTTCTTCCAGGGCTGCTACTGTCGTAGTCCCCTTTTCATAAGGAAGTAGAGGGGGAGGGTCCCGACCATATTGAGCTCTGAAGGGAGTCATCCCAGCAGCACTATGGAAAGTGGTGTTGTACCACCACTCAGCCAAGTGAATCCACTTCATCCATTGTCTTGGTCGATCTCCGGCAAAACACCTGAGATATGTTTCAAGACTCCTATTAACCACCTCTGTCTGTCCATCAGATTGGGGGTGATAGCTAGTTGATTCGAAGACCTTAACCCCATGTAGATGAAAAAGTTCAGCCCAGAAACGGCTCATGAAAATAGGGTCTCCGTCAGACACAATTGAGCTGGGAAGCCCATGGCGACATACGATTTCCCGAAGAAACACTTCAGCAACTGTGACCGCTGTAAATGGGTGTAATAGAGGTAGAAAGTCACTGTATTTAGTCAATCAACCAACCACCACAAGAATAACAGTTTTACCAGTGGAAACGGGCAACCCAATGATGAAATTGGAAGTGGTTGCAAGAGGCTTGCTGGTGTTGTAGTAGCTGTCTTATTTTGTTGACACATGTGCATTCAGCTATGAAATTTTGAATCGAATCAAGGCACACATGCCTTTCCAATGGAATTGTGTGGCAATGTGTTTCTGATTGTGTAGGACAGCGGAGCGACCACCTGTGGGCGAGGCATGAAATAGTTCAAGGAGCTTCCAAAGATATGCAGAATCTGCTGGGATTTCCAGGCAGCCCTTGAAGAAAAGTAGACCATCTTTGACGGTATACCCTGGGTTCTGTGATGGATTTTCCAATACTTGGGTCTTTAATTGCTGTAGTTCAGCATGGGAGTGGCTTCACTTGAAGCTGATCCATGAGTGGAGAGGCTGGGGATGACACGACTAACTAAAATGACTGTGGGTGCCGTGAGAGGGCATGGGGAACGCGGTTAGTAGACCCCACTTTGTACTCAATTGTATAGTCACATCCCAATAGTTTGGACAGCCACCGTTGTTGTTCAGGTGATAGGACGGCATGTTCTAACAAGAAATTCAAACTTTGACGGTTGGTCTGGATGATGAATTGTCTACCAGGCAAGTAGGATCACCAACGTTGCACTGCTAGGACCACTGCTAATAATTCTCGTTCATAAACTGATTTGGCCCACTTCTGTGATGTCAAAGCCTTGCTGAAAAAGGCTAATGGTCGGCCTTCTTGCATGAGGACAGCCCCAACACCTTGACTAGATGCATCACATTCAATGGTGAAATCTTTTGTGAAATCGGGTAATGCTAATGTTGGTGGTGTCAAAACTGTATGTTTCAATTGCTCAAAGGCTTGCTGGGCTTGGGCTAACCAGTGGAAAGCATCCCGTTAAAGTAATTGGGTCAAGGGGGGCAGCGATTAGATCGTAGCTTTAGATAAAGCAGCGATAATAACCTTTCAGTCCCAAGAAGGCCCTCGATTCTTTCACATTTTTGGGTTGCAGCCAGCCCACCATACTAGAGATTTTATCTGGGTCTGCAACTACAATCCCATTTTCTACAACATGTCCCAGATAATATACTTGAGATTGTCCAAAGAAGCACTTGGACATTTTAGCAAACAGCTGATGGGCCTCAAGTGTTGCAAGGGTAAATTGTAGATGGTTAAGACATTCCTCCCAGTTGGGGCTATATACCAATACGTCATCAAGGAATACAAGAATGAACTTACGTAAATATGGCCAAAATATGGCATTCATTAAGGCTTGAAATGTTGCCGGAGCATTGGCCAATCCAAATGGCATGACCAAGAATTCGTAGTGGTCATCATGTGTCCTAAAAGCCGTTTTGTGAACACCCTCCATATGTACCCTTACTCAGTGATATCCGACCCATAAATCTAACTTTGAGAATATCATAGCCCGACTGAGTTCATCATTAGTTTATCAATGACCGGTATTGGGAATCAGTCCTTAATGGTAATATTGTTAAGGGCCCTATAATCAATGCAAATTTGCCAAGTCCCATCCTTCTTTTTGCCTAGTAGTACCGATGAAGAGAATGGGCTATGGCTGGGATGTATCATTCTTTCCTCAAGCATATCTTGAACTTAATTCTCAATTTCAAATTTTTGAAAATAAGGGTATCAGTAGGGTCTTACATTGGTTGGAGCGGCTACTAGCATGAGAGGAATGCAATGGTCATGCTCCCAAGATGGTGGAAGCTCTTGGGGTTCTCCGAACACGCTATCATATTGCTAGAGGAGTTGTTGTAGGCGGTTGTGATTGTCTCTAGCCCCACTTGAGTTGCTGTTAACTAAGGATGGGCTGGCCCAATTCGAACCCATTTGGTTTGTTAATGTTGCAAGACTGATTGACCTTGGGCCTTTGCACGTTTGTCCTTGTAAATGGACATTAGAATCACCCAACGTAAAGTCCATGGTGAGGCAAGCCCAATCATAGACCATGGGGCCTAATTGCCTTAACCAGTGGATACCTAGCACCACATCCGCTCCACTGAGATTAAGGGGTATAGGTCCACGAAGAACTGGTGCCCCTGAATCTTTAGTGGTAGGCCCAAGCATATGTTGTTGCAAGATAAGCTATTACCATTGGCTACATGTATCGTAACGGCCGTTGTGGGTTGAACTGTGAGCCCCAGTTTATCCACCAGAATCTGAGTTATGAAATTAAGTGAACTACCACTATTTATGAGGATTGACACATGGTGTCCTTGGATTAACCTTGATACTCATTGTTTGTGGAGATGTAAGTCCAGTGAGGGCTTGTAGGGATATTTTAGGTGTCCTTGTTGGTTGTAATTCCCAAATGGGGTTGGATTCCCTGTAACTAGTGAAGTCGTCTCCCTCGGTCTCTATCTAGAGGAGAAAAGCTTGTTGTGTCTTGTACCAATGGCCCGGTCCAAATTTTTCTTTGCAGCTGTAGCAGAGGCCTTTGTCTATGTGGGCTTGCATTTCGGCCCAGGACAATCGTTCGAATGGAATGGTTGGGCATGGGCATAACCCCAATATTCCTTCTTTATTTGGCACTACTGCTCTAGGTACTAGTCCCCATGGTCGATGTATTCTATTTGGTCGTGCAAACTTGTCTTTATACAATCTTTCCAATGTTGTGTTTATGACAGGCGTAGGCTACATCGCCTTTACTTCCAATCATAGTTCTTCCTTCAAGCCACCAACAAAGCTTCCCACTAGAGATTTTTCCTTCCACCCATAGACTCTCACAGCCAGCTTTTCGAACTCCATTTGGTAGTCTTTAATCGATCCCATCTATCGCAGTTTTTCCATGTTTTCATTGTGGTCCTCGAACCCATATGATCGAAAGTGAATGGTCAAGGCATCAGTGAAATCTGCCTAAGATTGGCGAGGGTCCTCATCGGTACCATTAATACCACAAGATATCTTCTCCTTCCAAATGTGCAGAAGCTAGAGCCACCCTACCTTGCCCGAATGTCTTGTGGCAATCAAAATAGCACTCTGCTCTGAGAATCTAGGGAGTAGGATCGCTGCTCAAGAAAACAAGGAAATCTATCCTTGTTGTTCACATTGCACCAAATCCCGCTCTGTAGCTATTTCCGTTGCTACGCTCCTTGACTTTCCCTATCATTGTTGGCATCTAATCCAATCAATTGAAGAGAGCAATGAAGCCTTCTTTCATTTCTTTGAGATCTGTTGACATCCGATGGATCTCCACCTCCATGTGATCCGCGTGTGTGTCTACTTGAATTGTTCTAGTGTTGGTCATGTTTGCTCTAATACCAACTTGTTAGGAACCTGCCTAACACAGGGCTCTTCAAGGGAGCCAACCTCCTGAAATATATATATATAGAGAGAGAGAGGGAGAGAGAGATAGGGGGGGAGAGAGAGAGAGAGACAGAAAATGATGTTGAAATATTGATGTCTTTGATTATTTATACTGTTTTACAAAGCTCCCCTCACTTACATTCTTTAATTTCTTTTTTTGTTCAAACCACCGCAAATGGATGGTCAGTTAGTTGGGTTGTTATACCAGGAGGTTGATGTGGCCTTCTCTTGTAAAACTAGCTAACCATCTTCTATTGTTTTGTTTCAAAAATCTTAAGACAAGCCACCAAGAACTTAAGTAATGATCAATCTTTTGACTTCTGAAAAAAACAAGATAACAAGAAGGGGAGCATGCTTATACTTTTCAGCTATTTATGCCATGCCAAGAAAAAATATTTAGGCTATGTTCGGTTGCGATGTAAATCCCAGCTCAATGCTATATTGCACTCTAGGCTGAATTTTTAGACATTTGGTACAAATGTACAACATGATGAAATCAATGGAAAGTTAACATCGATAAAATCAATGTAAAGTTTTCCTCTCTTGGCACTCCCTTTCCATGTCTTTGAAGAACTTATCCAAGTTGACTCCCTTGGTTCCCATATGTACATCACCACCATCAGCTCCTCTACTGGGGCACGATGTTCAAAATCAAAGACAAGCTCAAAGAAGTAAAAGCACCCCACCGGCATCTCTTGAGTAGCTCCTCTGACCAAACACGAATGTCCGTCATTAGTGGCCTAAGGAAGAAACTGAAAGACCAAATGGAGAGCTTCAATACACTCAAGGAAAAGATTGCCAAGGAATACAAGGAGACTGTGGAGCATAGATAATTCACGGTTATAGGGGAGAAACTCAACAAGCGAACAATGGATGTCATGATATCAACGGGCATGGCGATAGGGCTGTTCATAAAAAAATTCAAACCCGCCAACCCGGTCTGACCCAACCTGAGTCGGCCAGTTTTTCTTCACCACCGGTAGGTTTTGGGTTGCAAAGATGGGTAAACCGACGATTCAGTTCGATTCGATTTCATTTTTCATGTGTGAAAACCAAAACCGAACCGAACCAAACCGACTTATCTAACTACTTATTACTTAACTAAGTTGTCTCTATCCTAGTTACTTACTAACTTAAACAGAACCGAGTTATCTAACTACTTATTACTTAACTAAGTTGTCTCTATCCTAGTTACTTACTAACTTAGTTTTTTACTTCTTTGATTCTTTCTAGTTACTTATCTATTCTTTCTAGTTTTCTCTTTAGGATTGGCATTAATGGCAAGCACTGCAAAGCAAAGAATCCCTAGTCCCTACACCTTTACTCCTTTAGAAATATTAGCTTCTTGCATTTTTTGGAAAGATTTAAAGAAAGGATCACTGCTCTCTAAGGACCTTTAAACCAAATAGGCAATGACAAAAAAGTGTCAATTCTTTCCTAGATTAGAAGTCTTCTTCCAATTTCCAAATTTCATTCTTCTTTCTCTTTGACTTGACTCTTCTTTTCTTGGTCCGCCTCCCTAAGGCTCAACTCAAGCACTCTCATTCTCTCAACTCTCAAGAATCCAAGATTTTCAAATTTAAAGTTCAGTGTTCAACATCACTTGAATCTCAACTTGGCTCTACCATCTTCTCAAATCTCAACTCTCATTCTCTCAACTCAAGTCTCAACTCTCAACTTCTCAAGACTCAAGCATCACATTCAGTCATTCACATGTTAGTACTTTTTTATATAATATTTTTAAAATTTAATGCATGATTTTGGATGGAACAATCAAACCTCGCAAGTCGCAAGTCAAGCTTGGGGTCGGTTGAAACCGACTATGTCGGTTTTGCTTAGTATAGGGTCAGTTTTGGTTTCATCTTTAGGTAACCCGACCAGATTGGGTCGGTTGGAAAAACACCAGTAAACCGACCCAACCCAACCCTACATAGCGAGAATCTGTTTCAGAAGGTGATACAAGAGCAAGGGTGGGCAACTGTGATGGACATAGTATCAAAGATACAGGAGAGGCACAATGCAGTTAAGGAGATAGAGAAGAATTTGAAGGAGTTGCATCAGGTCTTCTTGGATAAGGCAGAGCTAGTGCAAAGCCAGGGAGAGCAGCTGAACAACATTGATAGCCAAGTAGCCTGGACCACTTTGTTCATCAAGGGTGGGAAAGAGCAGCTTCAAGAGGCCAAGACGCTTCAGAAAAACACTTGGAAATGGGCTTGCTTTGGGATCACCATATTCCTAGTAATCATCTTCATCATAGCCACTACCATGTAGAGCCAATGTTTGTGTCGTTCCATGCCAAACGAAGGAGTGAAACAATTTCAAATCCCAGTCCCATATTGCATTCAAATGAACCGGAAGAGTCATCACTTCCACCATGCAAATATGTATTTACATTGCTACCAAACGCAGCCTTATGCATTCTAATCATTAACAATAAGTAACAATTTTTTTGGTTTTTAAGTTTTTTCTTTTTTTTTTTTTGATCAATTGATTTTTAGTTCATAAAAACTGTTACAGAAAACCCTCAAGCATTTATTCTTCTTCTACATAACAAAAAAAATGCCCAAGTTAAGACTTTCAACTTTGTGGTATCAATCAAACTAGGTTACATGATAGGTGAAATTGTGTAAAATGTTTATGGGAGAGAAAATTATAGCTCAGTCCTTTAATTGACAAAGAAATATTAAGGTTGGAAACTGACCTGCTAAAGGTCTCCAGCCTCAAACCTTGCTGGGCTCCAAATTTGAGGCCTGATAATTCACTAGAGCTAGAGGGAACTGAAGAAGGTGTAAAAGAAAATGGTTTATCAACATCTTTAGAGCCAAAGCTGAAGATAGGAGCAGAGGGTGGTTCCTTTGGTGGAGCTGTGTTATTAAACAATGGTGGCAACGGAGGAGTGACTGTTGCTGCCTGAGCAATTGTGATGGGTGGTGATGTGACAGATGCAGTAAAGTTAGTCTTGTCAGGAAGTGTGGGCCCATCAGAAGCCGCTGTATCAGTACCTCTGGTGTCAGAATCCTCAAGGAGCTTGGCTTCAGAAGAAGGAACTACAGACTTCTCTACAGTTTCTGTTTCAACAGATGTTGCTTTCATCTCCTTAATGGGTGTGTCTGACTTTTCTTTTTCAGAAGCCAATAATATAGATGAATCCCTCATATCATCGCTATCATCATCCAACTCCACGAAATCCTTCATCATGAAAATCAAAACATTAATGAATTAAAAAAACGAAATAATGAAAAAAATACTAAAAGGACATCTGTGGATAAAAAAAAATGGAAAAGACAAAGATAAAGAAAAATAGGCTTTTCGAGAGATTATGCAACTCCTATTTGATCCAGTCTCTCCAATCACTACCATGTACAAGTCAAAAAAACAAGGTGTTTAAAACTGACTGTTTAAAAAGTACTTTGGATGCAGGATATTTCCTATTGTTAATAGCTTATTTAATGATCAGGCCCATCGAAACCATCTCTGGAACACCAGATGATTCACCAGACAAGTCCAAGCAAAAAAAAAACATTTCTATCCTGATTAGGCCAAGCTTTAATCTAGGAGAAACAGGAGATACAACAAATGCTTGTCAAGAACTATTCTCATACCATATTCTCATATGCAACATGCATTCATTACAAATATAAAGCAGGAAGAGAATCAATGGTAAGAAGAGACAAAAAATGATTAGGAACCAATAGAAACAGTGGATAAAAGACAAACTTCTAGAGCAAAACCATTCCATATTCAATGATTATCTAGCTGAACAATGTAAGAAACACTGCTAACCTCATGAGCACTCATTTTGAAAGCTTGCCTCATTTGTGGAGGATTTACAACAAAGTTGGGCTTTATTGAATCCATAGCTTTAAAACTAGGTACATCTTTAATAAATGCTGATGTTACTGCACCATTAGCTTTAGGAGCCAATTTGTCCGCAGTCTCCCTTGGTCCATTTTCTTCAACCTTGTTAAGCTTTTGAGAAGTAGAATCTTGACAAAATGTTTGTTGGGAACCAACCCAACAATCTGAAGTAACAGTTCCTTCTATGCTAGGTAGCAACTTTGATGAACCTACATCATCCATGCTTCTCAGAGCTTGTCCATGTAACATATCAAGTGTCAATTTAGTGGGGGCTTTATCCTTGGAAATAGCTAGCTTGAGCTCAGATGATCTCTCTTTACGAGAAGGTACTAACTTATCAATCTTCTCAAAAATTTTTTGGGCCATCTCACTGGACTGGGATGGGACAAGGGCCAAACTTGTGCCGGAAATACTATCCCCATTTTCTGCATGCTCCATGCTTAGGATGCCATGTTTAGGCTTTTCCAATGGAAGTGCATTTTCAGGAACTGATAAGCCCATGCTTTTTGAAGGTGTCATCAGATTAGTTTTCTGGCGTATCCGACGAATAGGGCCAACAGATCCAATATCATTGTCTAAAACTGAACTTCTTCGCTTAGATACCTGCAATTAGACAAAAGATTAGGAAAGTGACTAAGTAGATAACTAGGTTTCCACATTGACTCAGAAATATCATCTCTACCTGTTTACCACTATAAAGGGTGCCATTATCCCATATCCGTTGAGATGAAGTTGAGGGATCAATATACCCATCAACTGTGGACTCCACACCCTAGAAGATGAACAGAATCAGATTTTGCATATCCTGAGACAACATCAACAACACAAAAAAGAAAATGGAAAATAGAAAATAACTGAAGAAAACATACATTGAAAATTGAAATGAATAACATATACCTTGAGTGATGCAGAAGAATGAACTCTTGAATATGGACTACAAGCCATACTGTATATTGCAGATCTGCCTCGAGGTCTTGGAGTCAGATAGCCATTTTGAGAGACTCCAGAACTGCCAGCAAGGCGGACATCTAACCTAGGTCTAATCGACATTCCCGGTGATCTTTGAGGAAATGGCATATTACTTATTAAAGCAGCATCCTCCTGAAGTGCCTGACTATACAAGCCCAAAGTTGACACCTTTGAAGCCGTATTGCCCATGTAGGCTTTTGCTAGTTCTGCTGGTGAAGCAACATCCTCTTCGAGGATCTGCAGAAGAATATCATGCAACAAATGCAAAAGCAAGAATCAATTATCATGTGGGTTTCCTGATGAGAACCGTGCACAGAACTCCATGGACCACTCACTCATAACTAGACCTGTTCATGGGCTGGGCCAGCCCGATCTAAGTTGGACTTGGACAAGATTTCAGGCCCGCAGGCTCAGGCTCGGGCCCAAAATATCGAGCCGGGCTCGGGCTTTCTCAAAAAAGCCCGGCTCGAGCCCAAGCCCAACTTGATAATGTATTATATTAATAAAAATATATTTTAGATAATAAAAAAGCATATATATAATACATTTTTCTTTATTTTTCTTCTCTTTTTTCAAGTAATAATTGGAGTTTTCATTATTTTTTAGGTTTTGAGGTCTTTAAGTATAAATAAAACAGCTTTTAATTGAATTAAAAAGGAAAAAAACTTTTTTTCCAAATTTCTAACCGGGCTTGAGTTTGGGCCCAAGCTTTATATGAAGGCCAGGCTTGGGCTCAAGACCTATGAACACATTCTGTTAATGTAGAGGCAAAGCCCGGCCCATGAAGAGGTCTACTCATAACCAAGGTTCAAAATATCAATAGACCCCCATATGGCGAAAGGGGTATATCAGAACTTTGAACCTTCCACTTTTCATTTAATTTAGTTTTTTTTTCAAATTTCAGAAGTAGGCCATCTTTATGTTATTTAACTCTTAGAAAAAAAAAAGCAATTTTCTTAAAATATGTTAAACCAAGTTGTATCAGAAACAAAAAGATACAATATAATACAGCAAATACAGGCATATTAGAGATGGAGTCGAGTTAGTACAACAAGAGGAGATTGTCAGGGCCTATGTGGAGCACTTCAAATCTATTCTAAGAAGGCCTGTGAGTAGAAGGGTGTGGGTAGAAGGTTTGGACTGGCCAGATGTAGGGGTGGAGAACAAGATAAGGTTCGAAAGTAGCTTTACTTTAGAAGAGATCAAGGAGGTTGTGTTTTCTATGGATAGAACAAAAGCTTCAGGGTCAGATGGGTTCCCAATGGCTTTTTATCAGGACTGTTGAGATATCTTGAAAGATGATCTCTTGCGGGTGCTTGASGAGTTTTTCAGGAGAGGAATTGTCAATCCGGGTGTGAACTCTACATTTATAGCCTTAATTCCAAAAAAGAAAGATGCWTCMCACCYGAARRATTTTAGGCCAATTAGCTTGGTTAATAGCTTGTATAAGATCATTACAAAAGTGTTGTCTTTGAGGCTGAAGAAGGAACTGCCCGATATCATTGCACACTATCAAGGAGCCTT